AGGTGCACTGGTGCTGTCAGGTGCAGCCTGGCAGGTGCACTGGTGCTGTCAGGTGCAGCCTGGCAGGTGCACTGGTGCTGTCAGGTGCTGGAGGAGCCGAAGGGCCGCACTAGCTCAGGGGTTCATTCGTGGTGGCTGGGGTTGCTGGCCAGGGGCTACCCTGTCACTTGGCTGACCTATGGTATCCTCTTGGGCCCTGACCCCAACCCAGAAGCCTGCAGTTTCTGTTACTTGTATTTTGGGCTCTGGGAATAGAACTCAGGACCTCATGCTTGCCTGGCAGGTGCTGCGCCACCGAGCTCAATCTCTAGCCCAGCCCACGGTTTCTGAACGGGACACTGTCAGGTAGAGCTGGGGAGACGCTTGTGCCCAGGATCTCAGAGTCAGCCCTTGTGTTTGAGGGCTAGCGCTGCACGCACCTCCACCTGGCCTAAAGCACAGCTTGTGCAGATCGAACAGCTGGCCGGCTTCTTGCCACCTCAGTGAAAACTTAACATTCAGACCCAATTACTATAGATCTTTGGTAGGATACAATTTATGTTGATTAGAAATCAAATAAATGTGTGCTTTATATACGACAGGCGTTCATCATTATCTAGCGGAGGAGAGAGGTGCTTAGGGTCAGGTCGCTTCCCGACCCGACCCAACCCCGTCCCAGCAGCAGAATCTTGGGCTCACTGCAAACTGTGCTTCCTCACACATAAGCCAGCAACAGGAACAGCAAATGCCTCTCGAATCAGTACAGGAGCTCAATGCATGTGGAGCACTGGAGACTCAGGAGATGGCGAGTAGATGATAAGCAATAATAATGTAAAAGAGCAGCTGTGGTAGTGCACTCCTGCAAGCCCAGGACTTGTGGGCTGAGGTGGGAGGATCTGGCTGAGTCTGAGGCAGCCTGGGTTATGTAGTGACCCCCCCCCCAAATATACAGAAAGAATATTTTGGTTCCTTTGACTCTTGGGCAGATTCAAATTATCTGATGAATGAATGAATTAAAAAAACACATGAATGAATGAATTAATGAATAAAATGTAACAGACTGCTTCTGTTTCTCTGTCTCAGAACTCAGGGTAAGGTTGGTAGCCCAGAACTTGCCTTACTCAGTTACCGCATGAGGGTCTTGGACACCAGAAATCCTGTTTTGGTTATTGTTATGTCCCTGCAGGGACAGAATGAGGTCCTGTCAGATGGATGGATGGGTGGAAAGATGGATGGATGGATGGATGGATGGGTGGGTGGGTGGGTGGATGGGGGGATGGATGGATGG